GCGCCACCCAGGCGCCCCTAAAGGATTTTTAAAGAAACGTAGTTTCCCCCTTTTTAAAGTAAAGTTTCTTGGGGCGCCTGGGTGGCGCAGTCGGTTAGGCGTCCGACTTCAACCAGGTCACGATCTCTCAGTCCGTGAGTTCGAGCCCCGCGTCGGGCTCTGGGCTGATGGCTCGGAGCCTGGAGCCTGTTTCCGATTCTGTGTCTCCCTCTCTCTCTGCCCCTCCCCCGTTCATGCTCTGTCTCTCTCTGTCCCAAAAATAAAATAAAACGTTGAAAAAAAAAATTAAAGTTTCTTTACAAAATTTCAACTTTGCACTTGAATTAAAAAGAAAAGGGACTTTGTACTTTATAGCTAGGATGGAAGAAGGGAGAAATCTGTATATTCCAAGAGTCATATTTAGTATTAAAAGCTCTAAGAGTTAAGGCCCTGTTGGCATAAATTATGAGTGCCTATGAGAGATAGAGAAAAGTCACCTCTGACTGTTGGTCCTTTCCTCCTTGGTTGATTCCATCTCAGTTGAGATCTACATAACTGCCATAGAAATTGAGTTTCTGAAATAGGTGTTAGTAAAAAGGTAAGGAAACTGGTTTTGACCTGTATGAGATTTGGCTTGGCTATAATTACGAACAGACCATTCTTGGTGAAGAAGAAAAGTATACACACACACATATATACACAAAGCGCGCGCACGCGCGCACACACACACACACACACACACACACACACACACACACAAAAGCCAGGCTCTGGTTCTCTAAGTGGCAATCCGTTATCTAGGATAGAATCTTTATTTATAAATTTGCCCTTTTGTGGCTTGATTTAAGATTGTATTAATTTCTAACTGGTGCTATAACAAATTACCACAAATGTAGTGGCTTAAAATAACACATATTTAAATTCTTACAGCTCTTAAAGTCAGAAGTCCAAAATAAGCCTTATGGGTATTATAAGGTAAAATCAAAATTAAAAGGTCAGCAGGCTGGTTCCTTCTAGAGAATTTGTTCCTTGCCTCTTCCAATTTCTAGAGGATAAGGCTAGCAGCTGTATCACTCCAATCTCTTGCTTCTGTCCCCACATGTCCTGCTTCTACAGGCAGATATCCCTTTGGCTCCCTCTTATAAATAGGATACCTATGATTACATTTAGGGCCCACATGGATAATCCAGAATAATCCTATTTCAATCTCTTTAATTTTATCACATTGTCAACTCCCTTTTATTATATACGGTAACATTCACAGGTGCCAGGGATTAGGGCCTGGATGTCATTGGGGACCATTTTTCAGCCTTCCACAGTCCATACTCTGGCCCCTAAAGATTCATATCCCTCCAATTTACAAAGTGCATTCACTCCATCCCAACATTCCTCAAACTCTCAACACATCACAGCATCAACTGAAGTACAAAATACCTTCTAAATATCATTATTCATAAAGCCCCACGTCTCATCATCTAAATCAGGTATGAGTGAGGATCTGGGTATGATACATCCTGAAGCAAAATTCCTACCTGTGGACCTTTGAAACTAGAAAATAAGTTATATTCTCTCAAAATACAGGCATAGAATACAAATTATGGACATTCTCATTCCAAAAGGGAGAAAATGGAAGGAAGGAGTCAACAGCCCTGTTTGGGGCTTTTAAAATCTAACGGGGAAAACTCCATTAGGTTTCAAGGCATGGTAGTAATCCTCTGTGGTTTTAGGCTCTGCCATCTGAGCCCAAGGCACCTCCCTTGAAGTCATACTTCGTTTTTCTTGAAGAGTAGCATTTGTTTAAAGCTTAGTAGTTTTATCAGCCTGCTTTCTGGCTATAGAGTTTGGGAAGTCCAATATCCTCCTTTAATCTTGTCCTCTCTCTGTCCCTTTCAGTCCAATTTGGCATTGTTTCTGCATGTAGAACATTCTCAAAAACTTTGTATTACATATATGTCATGGGGGTTCATGCCGTTAGCCAAGAGGGTCCTCTCCCAAGATCTTTCCTGTATAATAATATCTCTAGTCTTAGATTCTGCTGATATGGTTGAGGGAATCCACGAATCACAAGCCTATTCTCTTTAAATTTTTTTTTTCAACGTTTATTTATTTTTGGGACAGAGAGAGACAGAGCATGAACGGGGGAGGGGCAGAGAGAGAGGGAGACACAGAATCGGAAACAGGCTCCAGGCTCTGAGCCATCAGCCCAGAGCCCGACGCGGGGCTCGAACTCACGGACCGTGAGATCGTGACCTGGCTGAAGTCGGACGCTTAACCGACTGCGCCACCCAGGCGCCCCACAAGCCTATTCTCTTTAAAGAGCCCACTGTGTAAATGAATACACTGATCTTTTGATCTTTCTGAAGCACTAGCAAAAGGTTGTCCAGCCATACCCTTGACCTTTTTTCCAGAGCATGCTTTCCTAACAGTAAATCTCCTAATTTTATCATCTTTTCCAATCCGAGAATTTCATCAAGTCCTAGTTCCTTTTTGCTTAACTGCTCTTCCTTCAATTTATCTCTTTCCTCTTGCATTTTACTATAAGCAGCCAGAAAAAGCCAGGTCATGATTTCAACACTCTGCTAGAAAATCTCCTCAGCTAAATATCCAAGTTCATAATTTGTAGTTGTGTTTTCCACATAATAGCACACAATTCAGCTAACAATCTCCTGCTGTGACTATATGACAAGGATCCTTTTCCTCCAGTTTGCAAGAACATGTTCCTCATTTCTTTCTGAGCACTTACCAGCAATGCCTTTAGCATCCCAACAGTTTAAGGCAATATAGACTTTTCTACCATGTGACTCAAAATTCTTCCAGCCTCTATCCATTACCTGATTCCAAAGCCACTTCTGCATTTTTATATATTTGTTACAGCATCACCCCATTTCTCAGTACCAAAATCTGTATTACTTTCCCATTCCTGCTGTTAACAAATTACCACAAACTTAGTGGCTTAAAACAACACATATTCTCTTACAGTTCTGGAGGTCAGAAGCCCAACATGAGTCTTACAAGAATAAAAACAAAACCAAGGTATTAACAGGGCCGATTTCTTCTGAAAGTTCCAGGAGAGAATCTGTTCCTTTTCAATTCTAACTACTAGAGGCTGTGGGCATTCCTTAAAAATCTTTGGCTCATAGCTGCATCACTCCAATCTCTTGTTCTGTTGTCACATGTCCTACCTTCTATACTATGAACTCCTTCTGCTTTCCTTGTATAAGGACACTTGTGATTATATTTAGGGTCCACCTGGAAAACCCAGGATAATCCTCCTCATCTCACGCTCCTTAAACTAATCATACCTGCAAAATCTCTTCTGCTATATAAGGTAATATGCACAGGTTCCAGGAATTAGGACTTAGATACCTTTGGGGGCCATTATTCAGTCTTCCAAAAGGGTAGTTTACAAAATTTTGCAGATCCTTTCTTTGTTTTTTCAGTTAACAGCATAGTAATTTCTTTAATGTAAAATCTGTAACAAATTGTATAAATCTGTAATTTGTAGTAATTTGCTTAAATTACAAAGTTTCATAAATTAAATAAAAATTGCATACTAATTAAAATAAGTTTTAGATTAAATGGAATTTTAAAATTTTGTCAACCAATTCATTACATGACAAAGTATAAAAAGACCTAAAAACAAGTTCCTTGGCTATTACTTTACCTAAAATTAGCATGTATTCAAAACAGAAATATAGGTCTCAAGAAAGGGGAGAACATGTTAGTTAAGCATGCACTTGGAATGAAGATACAATATTGTTTGCTAACAGTTATGCCCTAGGTACCAGACTTCATAAACACATTTAAAATTATCAAGCCTGCTCAGGATATATTGGGTTAGAAACTTAGGTTCCAAAGACTCCAAATTCCTTTTCAGATCCAGTTGAATAAAGCAGTTACAAAACCAAGAAAAAATAAAAAGGAAAGAAATCAGCCTGTATTGAATAATGCTTTGATTATTATAATGATTATTAAGGCCAATTTCCTTACCTAGGCTGGAATAAATGTGGCTGAGAATACGGGCTGGTTGTACTCTGATAGGGTATACCTCAGCAATGGTCTCTACATCAATTCCCTTGTCCTTCAAAATGGCCTTGATTTCTTCTGTCTCAGCTAGAATGGAAACTAAGAAAGAAAGAAAGATGAGGTCAATAGAAACTTTTATTTTAATAGTAACCTAAAAATCTCTCAAGCCACATAATTTCTTCTGAAGGGAAGAGAAGAAAATGGGAGGAGATCAGTAGTTATTGAGGAACTTTTATGAAACACATACCATGATAGGTACATAACACTGTTACCTAAATGAAAAAGCTAAAAGGATCTCTTGACTAGAGAATTAGGTTCTGCTTTTTTGGCTAAGTACCTATGTGCTCCTAGAGATTGCCACACTCTCTTTATGTCTGAGATTCCATGTGTAAGTAGGAAAAAAAAAATCCAATGTGAGGTGTGTTATAGCTTTGGTAATAGTTGCTTCTCCAAGGCTCTTTCTTATCCTTACCCTTAAGACCAGACAGATTTTTGAGGGTAATAATAAGAACTACTATATAGCTAGAGAATGGTAGAAGACAAGGTAAACTTGGAATATAGAACTGGGGTACCATAGATAAAATTGTGTGTGGTTCTTTTGGGAGTTGGGGGACAGGGATACCACTTCTCTAGATTCTGAGCCTGCCAAACCTGGACAGCTCCCTTTTCAAAAAATTTTTTAACACTTTATTTATTTTTGAGAGACACAGAGAGACACAGCATGAGCAGGGGAAAGGCAGAGAGAGAGGGAGACACAGAATCCGAAGCAGTCTCCAGGCTCTGAGCTGTCAGCACAGAGCCTGATGCAGGACTCGAACTCACAAACTGCAGGGTTCATGACCTGAGCTGAAGTCGGACACTCAACTAACTGAGCCACCCAGGCGCCCCTCCCTTTTCTTCCTTTTATATTTATGTCTGTGAAGTGGTTATCATACTCACTAAGCAAGAGGCCAGGCCAGTTCCCTGACTCTTTTGTTTACTCTCCCTCTAGAGGACAGATACCTGGTTGAGGGCTAATAATCCAAGTGGGGCCTCAGCTAGTTTGACACTAAGCACCAGGGGCAAACATGCACCTTCTTGTTCTTCCAGTGCTGGTAGATGTGTTGAATTGGATAATGGGAAAATGAAGGTACCATTTGGTTCATTCAAGTTGACTAGCATTTTCTATGTTGAGCATTGGGGGCAAAAACCTAGTTAACAGAGTGGCACTTTCTTTATCTTTGCCATTATATTTTGTGTGTATCTTTCTATCTTGGGGGCCTCATGGCATTGTGTTACTGTGGTCTGGGTCAGGAAATGCAGGATACGGTGATCATAGGGTTCCCTGGACATAACACAATCTTGATTACTTAGAACTAAAAACACAAAAATGACAAAGATTCTCCAGGGAAAATGTACAAAGGAAGAATGATAATGCAGCTAAGGAAAGTCCAGAAAAACACATGTGGTCATCCATTCATTTATTAACAAACATTTATTAAGCACCTAAGTGGATGAGGTACTATGCTAGGCATTAGGGATAAAGAGATGGATAAATTAGTCTCTCTCTTAAAGGAGCTTACAGTGTAATGGAATTACACATAAACTGATTATAAACTAAGCTGCTAGGTAAATAAAGATATGCACAAAACATTATAAGCCACCCAAATGCAACACCTATCATGTCTGGGACTGGTAAGGAGTGGTTTCAGAAAAGGCTTTCTGGAAGAGTTGATATCTAAGCTGAATTTGAAAGAATGAATGTTAGCCAGGAGAAAGAAAGGAATAGGAATGGGGAAATCCATTTTAGGTAGAAGGTACACAATGGTCATAAAACATGGAAATGAAAAAAGAATGTGTATGTGTTGGGGAGGGGGAAACTACATATACTTCAATGTTGCTGTAGCATAAAATACCTTGCATGGTGGCAAAAAAAAAAAAAAAAAGAATCTGGAAAGGCAGACAGAGGCTAGATTTTTATGGAGGGTATATGTGCCACTTTAAAGATTTTGTATTTTATCCTTGGGTAATGATTTCCAAACTTCATTCTACTAAGCTTCAGGGACCTGCAGAGGGCAATGCAATTGGTAGCAGGAGTAGAGAGGACTGAAAGAGAGGCAACTGAGCAACACTCTGGGGTACTAGGAATAGTTTCAACCCCAACAGTTGAGCTCTTTTTTTACTTTACGTTTTAGAAAAACATTTAGAAAATGCCACCAATGTGCTAGGCACTGCCAAATGCTAGGGGTACAGAGATAGGCATGATCCCTGGAGAAAATGACATTGACATTGAGTTCTGCTAGAAGGCTGAATGGAAATTAATCTGGCAAAGGTGAAGGTAAAAGTATGAGAAGTTGTTCCAGACAGAAGAAAAAGCAGAAACAAAGGCTCAAAGGCAGCACAGAACAAGGCAGATATAGGAATTATTTAATGCTCTTACCGCAGGAGCATGAAGTGTGAAGGAGCCATGTAAAAAATGACAATGGAGACAGGGTCAGGCACCAGATCCTAAAGGACCTTATAAGCCATATGAAGGAGGTTGGCAACAGAAACCCCTGTAGAGTTGTAATCAGGAAAATAATATGTCCATATCTGTACCTTAAAAAGCATATTAATGTTGATGATTAAAGAATAAGCTGATAGACTGCAGTGGGCCTAGACTGAAGACTTAAAAATCCATTGCAGTAATGCAAGTGAGAGATGTTGATTACCTAGATTAGGATCATGACATCGGCACTGAAGAGGACTAGATGGATTTCAGAGTCATTTAGAAGGTAAAGAAATCAGGATTTGTTAAGTGATTGAATATAGGAGGTGTGAGAGGGGGAGATATTGAGAATGATTCCCCAGGAATTTATATGTGGAACTGAGAATGGTGTGTGCCTTTAATGACACAGGCATACAGGGAGAAAAGCAGGCATGGGTGATATAGTAGTAGGAGGGTGCAGCTGAATAATTTTAGACATGTCAGGTTTTTCTTTTTTTTTTAATTTTTTAATGTTCATTTATTTTTGAGAGA